AATATCAACCACTATGATGGGATAGAGAGTACCTTTCTTAATTTTGTAATAGACATCTATCATAAGAATTTTTTGATCATGTTGAAAGTAAAGGTTAGCAGTTGTAGGTAATTTTTTAGAAAGAGATCTGAGGTTATGTTAGACCACAAGCTGAATGAATTGATGATGGAGTATTATATTAGGAAAGCATGAAATGTGAAGAAATTCTTTTGCTTCATGTAAAACTTGATCTGGAATACTTTCAACATTTTATTACAGAAAAGACCAATTGCAAGGAGTCCAGAAAAAAGTAATTAAAATTATCAGTCATCCAGAAAACATGATATATGAAAAAAGATGGAAAAAAAAAGTCTACAAAAGATTGAGGAAAGACAGCAAAACAGTCTGCAATTAAATTAGAGGCTTTGAAGAAGACAGGCTCTTCATGTTCACATAGAAAAGAACAAGAATTGCTAGGCTGAAACCACACCAAAGTTAGATTAATCATTAAGAAAAAAATCTGTTAGTAGAGATACTAGAACAGAAATTTCTTCGCGAGATTGTAGAACTGCACCAGTAGGAGTCTTTGAGAACAGGCTACATAAGCTGCTCAGAAGCAAGGTTATTGTGAATCTTGTCCTGGTAAGCAGAAAGCTTGACTAGATTTTGCATCTATTTTTTATGACTCTGTGCAGTTGCTTAAGACAAATTTTACTGCGCATTTTTTTAATTCTTTAATATATGTAAATGATATGCTTTCTCTTTTTTTTCTGTGTCTACAAATATATACATATGATTACTGTGATTAGATATCTTCATTTAGCTACGAGCACTTGCAGTCAGTGTATGTGTGTGTGTGTTTGTGTATGTATGAGTTTTTTAATAAGCTTCTGGTTTTTGCTGTAGAGGAAAAGATGTCAGTATTCAAAGGTGTCAGCATTCAACACTCCCTAAAAGCTTTTCCTATTTTACCAGATACATCAAAAATCCATATAGTCATGATGAATACTGTCTGTCACTGTTGACTCAGCCTACATGGTTTTAAAGAAGTTAAGGAACATATGGGGGTGAATGCTACTGAGCAGCTGATTTTAAGTTGCAAACACTTCTATCTGTTTTGATCTCGTTATATTACTGTATGTGAGTTGAACTTCTCCCTAACCATCTATTGGAGTAGAGGTTGTGAATTGTTGAATGTCTGTATACTTTTGTGTCTTAATAAAAAGGCAGTCAACACATCTTTCTTAAATGTTCTATACCGCAGGATTCATAATAGGAATAGCTAAAACCATTGTTGACATTATAAGCTTTGTTACCAGCTTACATCTGATGTTTCCTAGCAATGATCAGCAAATCTTAACAATTTTACTGTTCTTCTAAGATTGCAATGTATTTCTAACCTACAGTAGTCTTAGCAAGTGTTCCCATCATCCCAAACTAAGGTTGTTTTTGTATGATGGTCTGTTAATTTTATTGAGGTTTTTTTTTCTTTTCTCCCACTCATGATGTATCATCCAAACATTCTTAATCTCCAGAGGAATTGTAAAAAACATTCCCATGAAAATCTTGAGTCTGAAAGCAACACACAATAAAAAAAAATATAACTAGCCTTGCTTCTCCCTGAATGACTTGAGTAAATTCCCTTGTCACAGCTAAGGTCCAGCACAGCAGACAGTCTCTATCATAAGTGAAAGTATTGCCCTTTTGACTGTTTATGATTATAAAACCAAGGGCTCATTAATCTCTTTCATTAAAGAGATCATCTAAGGTTTTAGTGGAAAAGGAAAAAGAAAAAAAAGGAGTGGGGTGGTAAGGCAGCTTTAATGATTTTTTTGGTGGGAGCCGTGCTTACAGATTGTACGTAGTTAGCCTAGCTCAATTCACAGCAATTCCTTCGTTTTGTTTTTGTTGTTGTTGTTTTCCACTAGAAATGATGGTACTCAACATCCCCGTTCTAACCAATAAGTTATTCCAGATGCTTCACTCCTTTATTTCTTTAGTCCACCACACAAGAAAAAAAGAAAAAAAAAGAACGTTTGCTTTAAAGATCCGCAGGTAAAGGACTATTCTTTGAAAATGCCTCATCAAAGCAGAGCACAAAAGAGAATAGCTACCATCTTGGGTTGTTTCTGCTAAATAGGTGCCAGCCATTTCATTAACTTGATTGAAATAACAAAATGAAGTAGCTACAGATTTTAGGCCAAAGGGCTCTTTTCCCTGTTACTCTGGTTCAGTTTCACTGGTCTTCAAGCATCCATGGGGTTAAAGTATTTTAGGGATTAGCTATGATCTTAAGTACTTAAGTATTTATTTAATGTTTAGATATTTGAATGCACTGATGATTTTTTTAGGAATTAGTGGCATGTAATACAGGCTGTCAATTAGAAATGTAGTTGTTTAATATAAGCACAAGTTGTGCACCTGTGTGAGCTTCATGTATGATAAATTAGAAAAACTGTGGCCCTTCTCCTTGCAGAGGCTACAACAGCTGGTATCCTTTGCTGACGTTGAAATTTTCACATGTAGGATGGGCTGTAACTTGCACTTGGCTGTTTGCAGTTTTACTGGAGTAATTTTGTAATTTTTAGTGTATCTAATCCTTACATATCTTTATAATCCAAAAGAGTTTATGAAAGCAGAAAAAAAAAACTTTTTCAAGGTTTCATAAGCATTCAGGCCAGTAGATTTTTTTTCCAAAAATGTTAGACATACTGTTCAATGAGTAAGGATCTCCTCTAGCCTTTTAATATTATCATGGAAAATAACTCTGTTATTCCTTCTAGTGGAGCTTGTCTCCCATACTAAATTGTTTCTATGTTTTCATTTCAATTGCAAGGTGCTCCCTTTGTGAGCAGCTAGCTTAATTAGATATTTGCAGGAGGGGAGCTTCAGGATCTGATTTACTGCCAGGATTAGCATGGGAGAGAGGCTCTGATGTCACAAAACCTTGAACAAAGCCAGGCTTAAATGCTCCAAGGGAAGCCAATTTTCTACATCATATTTTCCAGATTAATAAGGTAGGACAGGTCTGCCACCTTGGAATAATGTCTTAAATTATACTGAGAAATTTAAGAACTTTGAAAAACAATTATAAATTTTCATTTTCATATCTGTAAATAATACAAATGCTAACGCTTATCAGTTACATGTTCAAATGAAACTTTCAGTAACAGCAATAAAAGAATTGATCAGTGTTTGCTGTCATTACATAATGTGGAAGTTGGCCTGCAGCCCAACCCAACAATGTTATACACCATATTTCTTCCAGGAAAGTAATTTCTGATTGCAAAATCGATTTTCAGCTCATGTAGCTTAATGTGGGATACTTGAACTAGTTCAGAAAGGGCTGTCCTCATACTATTTTGAGTTTCTTGATGCAGTTGGACATCAGAAATCAAAGATGAATTTTGAACATAATACAAGCTGTGGGAGCTTCAGAGCAGCAGTTTGTGGCCTCTTTTAGTCTTAGGATATAACTGCAGATAAGAAGAGGAGATTTGTTTTTTAAATATTGTCAAGGTGCCAGAATGCTTTTAAATCACAATTTGGGTTCAACTTCTGTCCCCTAATAAGTGAAATATTAATATTGCTGACTTTCTAGCTCTTTTCCTCTTTTATGTTGGTTTCAACAAATTGGCTTTTGTGGTTCAAATTGCATTGTGATGTCTATGTTATAGGTCTCTGTTAAAAGATAAGCTAAAAGATGAATTATAGGCAGGTCTGAGAAAGTCTTCCCATCTGAAAGCAGTAATATGCAGAGTTTTGTAGTTCCCATTGAGCTTATATCACAAAACTAGGCAGTAACAGTATGTAGCAGTCACACTATAAAACCACATTTTACACAATACAGATACAGGTAGAAGGAAGGAATAAGAATGAATACTGTGGAGCTTCATCATTCCTCGTGCTACCTGGATGAAATTTAAGAATATATTTTAAGAACTTAATGAATTCCACTGCTCTATGATGACCACTGGCCACAGGAGATCTGTTTTTAAAGGTGACTTCAATGCAAAACAAGAAACATTTCCCAGGGTAATAAAAGGAAAGCAGTCTGAGCCTTTCTTGAGGCTGAAACCTCCAACTGTAGCATGGAATCTCACTGCAACTTGACTTTTTTTCCACAGCAGTACAAGGCAAACATTTCTACAGCAAAATGAAGAAACCTCCTGGGAAGTCTTTTTAGTTTTATTCTCTTTTATGAAGGAATCAAAAAGCAGAGTGGGGTCAGTCTCAGCCCACATGAGGTTTTAGCAAGAAACAAATTTCTATCCTCAAATTTGTTTCTACCTTTGAGCTTCCCAGGAATATTTAGATTACTCAAATTCATTTCAAATTAAGAGTTAACCTCTTGCACATATTTCCTTGGAATATAGCTCTCTAATCTGTTTACTTGCACCTGTATGCACAGTTGTGATGACTCACTGCAGTAGCTTTTTCTGTGCTATAGATGCAGTGTTTCAGACCTCTCTGAAGCCATGATAGGATTGTTAGCAGAAGCCTGGCTATTTCATTTTATTCTGAAGTACCATGCCATAGCTACAAACTATGCAAGTCATAAGAAAAAAGAAAAAAAATGAGGAATGATGTCAGAATCTGCTTATTTAGTTTAGTATACGTCCAGAATAACTGTACAGAAAACAACAGAATGTATTTAGGTTTATTCTGTTGTAGCTCAGGTCATAAACAGACTTCAGAATGCTGTATATCTAATGACAGCACCATACATTGTGGGAAACTTTTTTCTTTTTTTTTTAATTCGAGTACACTTTTCTTGTTCAGTTGCTACCTTTTTCACTAGGAAGATCTCGCTGTGAGGCCTGTCTCTGCCACAATTAATCAGTGCCAGCAGACAGAGAAATAGAGCTGCTCGCATTTGAAGAAGGGAGAGATGAAATAATGAGGAAGGTAATACTAGAAAAACAAATGCGAAAAATGAGTTACAAATATTAGCTGTCTTGCATGATTTGTTTATTGTTTTTTTTCTATGAAACTCTTCATGTAATTGTTTTCTTTTCAAGGGACCGAGCTCCCTTCATCTTCACATCAGAGATGGAGTATTTCATCACAGAAGGTGGAAAAAACCCACAGCGTTTCCAAGAATTTGTGGAGCTTTGTTGCCGAGCTTATAATATAGTCAGGAAACACAGCCAGTTACTTTTGAACCTGCTGGAAATGGTAAGACGCTTGAGGATGAAACCAAAACTCAATTTCCTCTGGTTGCTCTTCTCTTCTAAGACTTTGCTGCTGCCTCCTGAAGCTTTGGGATTTAAAGAGGTATCAGGTGATACACTCTGCAAGGAGTCTTTGAGAGTCCAATTGCATGTACGAATATCTAACAAAAGAAAAACTAGGCTGCCTGGTTGCCTGTTTTTTTGGGTTTTTTTTTCTTTTTTTCTTTTTTTTTCTTTTTTTCCTTTTTAAATGCAAATGGAAATTTAATGGAAAGTTAATGGAATTTTGCCTGTTTGGCAAAATTGCAGAAAACTATATAAGAACTCAGGGCACAAGTTTTTGCATTCAAGAATTTCACTCAGTCTTTTTTCTGGGTCTTCAAGCAGTTGTTTGCCAACCCCTTTCATGCATACAGCAAGACAAAAGTAATCTGAATAATCCACAGAGTGGCCGATGTCAAGTATGTGGAAGTGGAATGTTTTTTGCATAGTTCGAACTCCCCTTCTTAGGAGGACAGATGCAGGAAAGAGCAACATTATGCTCATGGAGACTGGCTACAAAATCCTTTTGCATAAGGAGCTTTAAAGACCCTTGAGAGTTTTCATCCCGTACGTGTTTCCACTGATTCACATGCTGTGGCAGATTCCATAAGTTCCTTATGCTGTTGTTTACTTGCATGTGAAAGGTTAATGACAGGACTTTTGCACCTCACAGGCCAGATGAGAATAGTAAATTAAGTAGCATTTGCAAAGTGATTTTGGTTGCTTGGCTAAGGCGTTACTCTAAAGCTCAAATCTAGGCCCTAGGACAAAGCGTAGGTGACTGGTCCATACAAGAAAAAATCTCTAGAAGGTCATTTACAGAATCCCTGCTGAGGCCAGTGAGCAACCAAGAAGTTGCTCTATACACACTGCTCTATCATCTTAGGGATGACAGGGAGTCTGCTTATTCACTTGAAATAGGGAATCAGTAGAAACTATGTGAATTGAAATGCTTTAGTTATGTAGGTCATTTCTAGAAAACTAAGAGCGTGCAAAAGCTTCACTTCAGGTTCATTCCTGTGCAAAATACCACAATATCAGGAGAGGGCAAGATAAACTAACCACTGCCTATTTAAAGCAATGACAATTTGAGATTTCTCTAAATGTTTTTAAAATCAACATCAGCTTGTTTTCATCTCCCCTCTCACCTTCTGTTTTCTGAGACACTATCTCTAAAATGTGGCTAAAAAATCCAAACGATAAGGCCATTTGCAAGAAGTGCAGTGCTTAACAGGAGTTGTAAGCTCTGCTCTATATGGTCAGCAACCATGAGTGGTTCTTAGCAAACTGCAATTATGAGCCACAAGTTGTTTTTTGGTCCAATATGGTACTTAAGGCTTTTCCTTGGTGGTGAGCAGCATGTTTGTAGAACCATTCCAGCATTTGCTATCAGGAGTAAGAAATAATCCATGAAGTTCCCATCACTCTTGAAAGTAGAAACATCTGTGGGAGGCCCAAGAGGCTTGCTGGCAGAGTTCAGCTGCATAAATGCCTGGAGTTCATCAGCTTTACTCTTACTAAAGAATTGATGTGAACTATTATAAAGTGAGTTTCCAGAGAACACAAACACCATTTGACTGGTTTATAAAAGATGCAAAATCCATTACTGTCATAAAGATTTTTCAGATAGAAAATTATTAATGGGAGCTTAGAGGTGACACTGGACAGCAAGTGCTAATTGATTCAGTTGCCTACAGTGTGGATGGAGAAGTAGGTAGAAACTAGGTAGAGCTAATAGTGTAAAACCGGAAACATGGTGCCTAGATGGACTATCAGTCTCCAGCATCTTGTGTCCCCAGAGAAGTCATTACAGCTTTCTACAACTCTGAAATCATCTGGGAAAAGAAGATCAGGAAAGACTGCTGTTTCAGAGGACCCTGCATTGAGACTGAGTGCAAACACTATTCATTTTTTCACGAGATCTTGAGCTGGGTTTCACATGCAGCTCTGAATCCAGACCCACGTTTGTGTGGAAGCAGCTCCACTCCGTGAGACAGAAAGTCTCCAGTGTTCGAGTGTTGAGACATACATGGAATCAAAAGAAAGGAGTAATGCAGGCGCTTGCCTAGGCTTCTAGTGACATTTGAATTCCCCTGGGATAGCCAGGAGGAACTTGGTATGTATGAGGAGCACAGCTCTCCTAGGAGAGCCTGTGGCCTTTTGAAGCAGCAACTAAAGGCTGCAGAAATGGCACCAGACTCTTTTGTCATTTTAGTTAGTTCTTAGGTGAACAAGGAAGTGCAAACAAGAAGATATTTTATACAGAGTAAGAGGATTGAAACAATAGAATGATCTTCTTGCAGCCAACTACACACTGTGTACCTACAGCAAATGTTTTTTTTTTCCATCTTCTGCAATGCAACGAACCCCCAAAAGTCCTGGGTTTTAGCTGGACTATAGATCATTCAGGAAAAAGTCATATTACATTCTTAACTGGCATTGTTCTCTAATGCAAGGAAAGAAGCTTCATTTACTTGTGTAACAATTTCATAATTTTAAAAGGGCAGGAATCGTTACCATCCTTTATGACTTGGTTGGAGACGTACGAATAAGTAGCACTGCATGTCCTTAAGTAAGTGCTGAATGTTGTTACTGCCCCTGCTCTCAACTCACTTACCAAGTTTCACCTGGTCAAGGCAATAAGCTACTTAAGTTAACCTCCTCGAGCTATCTATCCTTCTGTTCTTTGCTAGTCAGAACTCTGAGACAGTAATTCAAATGTCCATTGGCGGTATAGACTACTCTAAGGCAATAAGCTACTTAAGTTAACCTCATTGAGCTGTCTATCTTTCTGTTCTTTGCTAGTCAGAACTCCAAGAGATAGTAATTCAAATGTCCATTGGTGGTATAGACTAGTGGGGTATGAAGCAAAATTTTTCTCATAATGCGAAATATAAAATACACAAAACTTTCAAACTTGGCTTAAAAAAATACCCAAAGGGTTTTCAGGAATAAAGCAACATATGGCCCTGTCCTTTTTCCAGTTCCTCTGAGCATCTCTCAACTAAACTTTAAAACAATAGCAGTTCTTCCCTTTTTATTTGCCTTTATTCTCAAAACTCAGTGGCCTTTCTGTCTGCTGTAAACATAAACATCGATGAAGAATGCCCACAGCTCAAGTAGCAATTGCAGGTTCATATATATTTTCTTCTGAACAGTGTCGTGGAATTATTTTTTTTCTCAAGTACATGCAAAGTGTCACTCAGCTGACTGTGATCACTAAGAAAAATCACCAGATTTTGAAGTGAATTGGAATTATTTTTGTTGCTCACGCTTCAAAGTGCCTGGAGAGGTTGTATGGTCAATTAGACTCTCAGTTGTTTATACCACTTATTGCCTTGTGCCTTTAGTTACAGCAAGGGGAATATTTGCACTATCTGTCTTTTGAATATAAGTTAGCCAACTATCAGAAATAGCATGTGTCTTTCAGCTCCCTCCACTATCTGTGGAGAATGATATGCCTCTCCAGAGGGCAGTAGCCCCATTTCACTTAAATTGCTTTTAACTAGTGCAGTGGACTAATGATATTTCTTTATTTTAAGATGCTGCATGCAGGATTGCCTGAGCTAAATAGTATTCAGGATCTGAAGTATGTGTATGACAACCTTCGACCTCAGGACTCTGACCTCCAGGCCACAAGCTACTTTACAAGGTAAAAAACAGAAATGAATCTGAAAAACTTATGTCCTTCAGGCATGAGGCAAAGCTGCCAAATTTCAGAGAAAAAAAAAAAAAGAAAAGAAAATATTAGCATAGCTTCTGTCTTATTTAAAGAGGTTATAATTATTGAAATTACACGGAAGAATAATTTGTCTTCATGTGTTTATTTTTAAGACATTCCTTATGCTATTACCAACCTCATCAAGTTTCTGAAAGAAACACAATAGTGCACTGTGATATACTTGTAACAAGTTTCTCACTTGGTGGCTAGAGATTTTCTTCGGCTTGCTTGATAAAACCACACTGGCTTATTTCTAGTCAGCTTTGCTCTCTGATTTTAAGAGAGCACCCAGTGCAACAGAATTTGTATTGCAGGCACTTTGGATAATGATTTAAATGTTGACATTCAAAAATTCTGAATCTGAATAATGTTTGCAATGGGCTTTGTAAAGTCTTTTACAAAAATTAGCGGGCCAAATACTGAGTCGGGACGTTGAATTTCTGCATTTTATTCCTGGTTCTGACTTTCTTTTGACCTTCTGAGTTGCTTCAGGCGAGTCACTTTTCCTCTCTTACCCATAGTTACTCTAGCTGCAGAATGGCAATGATTCCTCCTTTTAAGCACTTAACAGATCTATCAGAGTAAAGCATCATATGTGTGTATAGGTGTATTTAAGGCTTGATTTGTGCTAGGATAATAAAACCTTTCACTTGTTTGTGATAATAAATGACATTTATTGATCATAGATTGACTGCAGATGACCTATATTAAATGAGTTCGATGTCCTCAGTCCTGATCTTTTGGGACAGGCCCCTGCATCACATAAAATTCCAGCTGTCTATTTGATGATGCTGTAGACCTAGCCGGTGGTGAATGATTGGATTTGGAAGCTTTTTCCATTCTGGGCACTCAGATGCTCCAAGTCAGATTCTCCTGGCCTCTTGGCCCGGTGCTGAGTGCGGGGCGCGCGTCCCGTCTGCGATGTGGGGCTCCCTTCAAAGACAGGGGCCGAATGGGCTTTCCCTTGAGACAGCGCACGGCTCTGCCACAAAGTGCCTCGAGGCAGGAGCAACCCCCCTTCCATCCCGTGCAGCCACAGAGCACATTGCAGTGATTAGATGAGATGAAAGCTGCAACCGGAGCAGCTGAGCCAGGCTCATTACTGCTACAGAAGCCCACATGAGGACTTTTGCCAGTATGATCTGCATTGTTTATGGGTCTCCCTTTCATGTATTAGAAGCGGAAACTGAGGCTGCAAGATTAGAGAAATCTGAAGCAGAAGCCTAAAGAGTTTAAGGCCCCTCTTTGAAGAAAAAAAAACGAACTTTGCAAACAAAACTATCATTCTGTTGCTTTGCACATGGGAGAGCATTCAGCTCTTGTATTTTTATATCCTTTCCCTCTTTTGCTTTAAAAAAGGCTGTTTTATTTTAAAATTTAATTACAGCTTTACATTTCCTGTCAACTCCTACCTTACTCTTTCTTTAAAAGTTTCACATATTCCCAAATTACAGACCAGTATTTCCACTTCAAATGGGAAACTTGCAGCTTTTAATTAAAATATAAAAATCTTGATTCTGCCAAATAGGTTGAATGGTGATGCTTGTCTCCCTAGAGTAAAACATTTCATTTAATTAGAGAAAAAAGACTAGGACATGCATAACAACTAGGGAACTATGAGCCTTTGAGTGGGAATTGCATTAGTGTCACGCAAAACCCGGAGCTGGGGCTCAGTATTCTTCTGGAGGTGGAAAGAGTCCATGTGGTTTTCAGCTGGATAAAGCTATGGTTAAGGTCCATTTCAGGGCAGTCTGCCTTAGCCAGGATGAAGGATGAGGACAGGAGGTCAGAATAGGGCTGTAGCTCCACACTCTTTGGGAGGTAGATGAGGTGATTGTGGTGGTTTTTAGGGAAGTGAAGAACTCCAGAGTGGGAATTCAACTGAAGTCTTCCTTAGAGAAAGCAGGTGGGACAGGAGCTGGTGCCAGGAAGGAGATGTCACTCAAGAGTGTTTTGAAGTGGGAAGAGTCAATGTGCCTTATTGCTTAGTAAGGTGCATATTAGGATTAGAATTATGATTATGACTGTGATTAGGGAACTGTGGGCCCATACAGAAATCTTGCCCATCCCAAAGAGACTGTGTGTGGATCCTAGAGACCAGCGTGTCCTACTCCAACTGTTAGGGTTGGTGTTAGGGAAGTGAAGGCCTTCGGAGTAGAAATTCCACCCAAGGCCCGCTTACCAGCAAAACAACCATCATAGCACGGGTCTATATAGTGCTGCATGCTCTGTTTGGAGGTGTATTTTCTGCTTTGATGCTTCTGATGAAACTTATAGCTGTTTTTCCAATTTCCTTCAAAATGCTGAAATGTAAATTTGTTATCATCACCCATAAAGATCATTGTATGACATAGCAAAATCAAATATCGTTAGGGTACATCTTTTCTTCTTCAATACTCTTATCTTACATTTGTATATGTTTGTGTCACATAATGCTCATTTGTAAGAAGGAAGTCTCCTTTCATGAGCTTCCCTGGATCTGATTTCACTTGGTGCTTTTGTTTGGGTTTACTCTTATTTCTAGTCATGTTTGAATATAATCAATTTATGTTAATTCAACAGATGCATTAACTAACATTTTACAGGTTTAAAGACAGGCAGAACACCAAGTTTCACATCAACTATCCAGACAGTCTTTAAGATATATAGATCTGATATCCATATCCAGTGTCACATCCAGGTCCATGCAGAACTCTCTAAGCATTTACCAGCCTCCCCTCCAGAACGTTACTATATTGTGCCTTTTGATACCTTTGCATTATCTGCCATGTCTTTATGCCCATCCTTCAGCAAAATTCTTGCCTACCTGATTCTTGCACAGAAACTCTGATGAGAGAGAATCCAAACACAGCTCTCATGGTCTGCCTGTATTTTTTCCTCTATCTGTTTTCCAGGCTATCCTAGAAAGCTTATGAAATTGGAAGTTCTGATTATTAGCATAGCATCCAGACTCTATCAATTCCCCTGTAATTTGAAGCTGCTTTTTCTCCGTAATTACTCCCATAAACATTTTGTTATTTTGAATAAAAGTTCCTTTTTAGATAGGGAGTGTGGTCACTGGAATGTTAAAAGCTGCCAACAAAAAGTTATTTCTTATTCTAAGTGCAGGGTAGTTATTGTCATCATTCAGATTCTATCATATAATGTATCTGCTGGAAAGCCTAACCTTCTGCTAGCGGAAATAAAAAGAACAGTATTTCTCTGTATTTATGGTTATATAGGTTGCTTTTAGCAATTGTCTAGGTTTGGTTTGAGCAATAATACAACATTGCCTCCACTGTCACTTAAGACCGACATGAAATGATGAATGACATCACAGATATTCCTGGAAAAACAATGTGCTTTTGTTCTTTGCCTTTCACCTTGTTAGCCAATACAATAATGCCACTTGAGCTGGATTTTAACATGCCAAGCCTCTTCCAGATTGCAAAGCATTCTGTGTTTTAGCAAATTCTTTTGCCCTCATTCTTGATTTAAGACACATTCAATAATCTGTGGGTGCATTTGTGTACAGTTTTCTTCTCACATTGGGCCAGTTCGCTATTATGAGCTGATGAGCAGCAGCATTAAGCCTCACAGATCACAGCCTTCTGGAAGGTCACACTCTTGGATCGTGCGTAGACAATGTACCAATTGAGAGTAAAACAAGGCTTTCTGTGTTTGCTCGTCATTTCTGTGCACCTAGTGCCAAATGAAACACTCTTGTCTCTCCAGCATCTGCCCTGAACTCGGTTTGATCCTTGAAACTGAATTTGATCCCTTCCCCTCCCTTTTTTCCCCTTCCCCCAACAACACTGTTTTACACCTCTGAATATAAATTTCCTCTCCTTTGGTTTTCTTCAAAATGTAATCTTCAAGTGTCAGCTTGGTGTTGCATGCTGCCTGACATTTTAATATGCTTGTAAAGTTATGTATAGTTCTTTATCCTTTAAAATTATGTTAAGGGATCAAAGTTAGCCTAATTCAATGAATGGAGCTTATTTGAATTTATTGCAGTATGCAGTCCAACTCATCTCATAGAAACCCATGAATGCAGGATGCACTGTGGTTGTGCCAGTTTTCAGAGAAGCAGCATTGTGCACCTTCAGCAGCCTGATTAAAGGTGGGCTGCTTAGAAGTTGTCATCTCTCATCCTTATTTTTGTTTAGGTATCTGTCATTACCCAGATCAAGCATATCCAGTCCAAGCAGCAATGCCAGCAGTTATAAAACTGGACAATTCACAGTAACTTCTTTCAAAACAAATTCACAGTAACTCATTTCAAAACACAGGACT